ATTTCCGAGTCTTTCATGTCGCTCCCATCCACGTTTTCTGGTAGTTTTCATCCCATTCTGTCAAAATCTCCATGGCTTGTGACTCACAACCTTCCCCATCAGGAGTAGCACTGGCAGTGAAAGGTTAACCTGAACCCGACCCACGATGACAGCGTCCCCACCACATGAATAAAATCCAGACGTTGAAAAGTCTGCAGCGCTAACTTGTGCAAACTAGAACTAATCACAGAGAAGCTTGTCGTTTCAGGCTGGGGGAAGAAAGAAAAATGACAGAAATGCAGCCAAGCACGTGGAACTCCCGGTCGCAGGAGCGCTGAAGCACAGGAAGCAAAAGCAACGGCGCCATAAATTAATAGCAAAACAAAACGAGCATAATTTGAATATGACCATCATAACCTTAATGGGTCGGTTCAGCCAATTATGAAATACAAATAGCAACATACTTTCTCACCTCCAGTTTCACTGGCGGTGTCTAGCCAAGCAGGCAGTTTTGATTTTATTCAGTAATTCGGTTCCAAACATTTACAGCAATGGAAAATATTTCAGAGAAAATATCTGGAAAAATTGAAAGAAAGAAACAACGAGGAGGCTCAGACGCCAGCGGCGAGATAACACCAGAATCCTGCAAGAGCGAGGCAGAGCGAAGAAGTAATGCGTTCAGATTGTCACCGACAGCCGTTCTATCAAAGAGGACTTCTGCTTTTAAACTTCTTAAATTGTTACGATGAAAACATGTTACCTGCCGCGGGGAAAGTATCCGGCTGTTTAGAGGAAGAGGCGAAGATTCGATATTCAGAGTTTCCTTTCTCTTATGTCCTCTCCTGTTAATCATCACATGGCTTCATTTATTATTTCGTAATTTCTGTTTTTAACGGTGAAAATATGAAATCTGAACTGAGGCTGGAAGCGACAGGGAAAATGTTGTTAGACATGCAGCTACAGAAAGTGACTCATCTTCAAGAAGAGAGGAGAAGCCAAAGGGAGAGAGCAAAAAACGAGTTTGCTGAATTCCCTTAAAGAGACATAGATAGGCCAGACCATATCTCACCTCTCATCTGCTTGGTCAAGGTACAGACAGGTGGAATGAGTCCAATATAGAGATATGAAATATTCAGCAACCAAAAGGCTTCTGTCTGTTCCACCGTTCCGGGCCTCCGAGGAGTCTGTGTGGCTCCAAGCACATGCATATACAGCGCGTGTCCTATATACATAAAAACGCAGAGGAATGCTGACAGGCACACGGAGTGAGGATGTGCACTCTGTTTTCAAAGTCTTAACGGTGTCAGTGACAGTTTTTCATAGCAGGCCTGCTGAAGCCGCGGCTCTCCGTCTTCCTCTGACTGAATATTACATTTGCAGATGACTGAAAGAGTCTTTGTCTTACAGAAAGACAAAGAGAGATGGACTCAGCATTAACCACGAACAGGAAACACAGAGGAAAGGAACCGTATCAGAGACAATGAAAGTGTCAAATAAAAGAGATATGATGAAAGGATAGATCGCGGCACCAAGTTCATCACGCCCGCTGAGACAAAGTGCAGCCTGAGCGTCGGTGGCAGCTGTCAGATAGACGCCGGCTCACGTTCCCGCCATGTCGGCCCAGCAGTGCCCGGTCACTTCGCACCGGCGGAGCACGCCTCTGTCAGCTGAGCTCAGCTCGGCCATATTTCACGACGGGATCAGATGTGGGACCAAAACGTGCCTCGGAGCTCGGAAATTCCTCAAAGGCAGGACCGGAAAACAGGACGGTACATCTTTATGTGGCGGCGCTCCAAGACCAGCAGATACTGCACGCTTTCATCTCTGTGTACATATGATAAATTCATAAATTAACACTCTCTGTCGACTCTGTGGCCAGAATCATGGACACGAGTTTTTAATGTGCCTTTCCTCATTATATAGCTCCGGCTGGGAGTTGCTTCCGAGGGGCAGCCAATCAGAAGAAATCTGTCTGAAAGGGAGGTCTTAAAGGCTTTAAAAGGAGAGTAAAAGTAGAGTATGTAATCTAATCAATAATCAATCAAAGTGTGAAAGCTGGTCGAGTAGAGTCCAATAATAAAAGCACGGAGCTCGGAATAACCATAACAGGTCCTTTTAATTGGATATGAATGAGTCATAACGACGGAAATGGCATCAAACTGCGAATTGTGCAAAGCTGCTCTAGTAGGATCCAATAATAACAACATGGAGCTGGAAACGAGGATAATCGGTCCCCTTAAATGAATACGAATGACTCATAATGACTGAAATGACTGTGTAAATATGAGCCCTTTATTTTGAAGAGGTATTTCTGGAATGCGTGACTTCAAAGAGAGAAAATCTTACATTGGTGAAGATTAATTGTTTTCATATGATCACTTGGCCTCTTTTGTCATGATCTCAAATAAGTTTCCTGCTTCAATGAGCCACAACATTTAAGCACGATAGCCAACTGCAAGTTGTAAATGAGATCAACCACAGAGGACCAGCTAATGCACCGTCAGTCTGTGCTGCTCTAAGAAATCTATTTGCAGCAGCACCTTTAACATCAGCCAGTCTCAGCCTGACCCCGAGACCTCGCACGAAACCCGTAAACATAACATCAAAACCGGGATCCCAGACCGCAGCTTGTAAAACGCCCCATTAGCCAACTAATACACCCGTGTGATTGTGTTCATCTCTCACCCACCAGCGTAGCACACCAGTAATGATCGAGAAGTTTTGCTTTTAATTAAGCCGTACAGTTGCTCAAGCTAAATCTCCACATGGTAGAAATTGTGCAATTTAATTAAAATGACCATTTTTCATCTAGTTTATAATTTTTATTAGTGCGAGAACCAAATGAATGTGAGCGCTTATTCTTCATTTGCAGGATTTTTTTCGCCCGTCAGATCTGCAGCGGACAACGATGGCTGTGCAGAGCAGCAGCTTTGATAAAGAACCAAGATGTTATTTTAATGTAAAGTACAAATACATTAAAATCTGTTTAAGATTTCTTTGCTTGGATAGGCTGCCGGTCTGTCCAGATCATTATGCTTTTTGGCAATCACAAATGTGTTAATAACCAAAAACCCCAGAGATTCTTTAATTAGTCTGTGTTTGATATAACACACCCTGCTATCTGTTTAGTAGGGGTGCAATAATACTCGTATCGGTATTGAACCGTTCGATACAGTGCTTTCGGTTCGGTACGCATATGTATCGAACAATCAACTTTTCTTCTGACGATGCTGTCTGTGTTGAGCGCTCAGGGGATCTGCGTTCTACTACTCTGCCTAGGCTGCACTGTCGAGCACAGATCCACTGAGCGCAGCGCAAGCTAGCAAGACAGAAGTTAAGCTCGTTGCAACATGGTCACTGCCTCAACGCTACCTGAAATTGAACCTCCCCCACCCTTATTCAGATCTGGCGTTTGGAACTATTTTGGTTTTCATGTGAAGTATGACCCTGATGGTAAGCGCGTCATGGACAAAAGTAAAACAATGTCGGATGTGCCACGCAATGCTCAATTACATTGGTGGGAACTAGTGCGTTAGCGCAGTTAGCTTGTTAATGTGTTGACGCTGTCCAGCCCGACGCACGGGGCGATCCGCGGTAACTCGTTAAGGGAGATTTGTGGCGTTATGCTGTTAATGTCATTTTAACGAGATTAACACTGACAGCACTAGTGGGAACACAACGAATATGACTGCACATTTACGTTGACATCATCCTTGTGCAAAGACAAGTGGAAGCAGACAAAAACAACAAGCACGCATGCTACAAACTTTACCCGAGTCATTTAGACAGCCGTCAGCACATGATTCTCCTTATGGGGACCTGATATGTTTAATATGCTGCTGAGAAGAAGCCCAGAAGAAGCGTATAGTATAGCTTTTATTTTGGAAAGAGCCATTTCTCTGTAATAAACTCTCTTTTCCAAAGATGAGTGATTTCTGGATCAGATAGATTTTTTTATTTTATTATTTTGTTGTTTCAGCAGCATTAAATTTAAAAACTGTACTTTTGAGTTAAAATATATATTTATAATTTTATTAAATGAAAAACTAAAAAGGCATGAACATTTTTTTGTATCGAAAAAGTATCGAACCGTGACACCAAAGTATCGAACCGAACCGTGAATTTCGTGTATCGTTGCACCCCTACTGTTTAGGTATGTGACCACTACTTTGACTAGGGTCCTCCACACGTTCTGTAAGTCGCACACTTGGGCTTGGTGAAGTCAAAACCTGAAGGCTAACTTTGTTCCGTCATCAGCTCCAGAGGAAGTCGCCCGCAGCTTGGCGGTCAGAGGACCTGACGTGAGAGAGCAGCATCAAACGGAGGGGCCATCTGAAACAGGATTAGAGTTGTACGCAGGTTCTGATTATGAAATATTTATCTGTTCTTCTCTCAGGGAGCACAGCACATGAACTCCGGGAACTTTCAGAAGCAAAGGATTAATTTGCACGCACTGAAATTAGCACATAGATCAAAGCGAGGGGTGCCACGGGAGTATCCGAAACCTCAGTGTATCTAGAGTAGAGATTGTGCTTTGCTGGTTACCAAATCTATTTTCATAATGATATGGATAGAGGGGGGAAAAAAAAAGAGGACATCAAGGGGAATCCAAGCTGGAGTTGAGTATAATTAACCACATGTATATGGAACAAAACCTACCAGACCAAAGCAAAGACAGCATACAAAGGAGGACAGAGTAAACAGAGAGAAGAACAAAATTAGCTAAAACAGACACTGTAATTTTCTAACCAGCTCTCAGGCCTTCGTGTAGGATCGGAGCGATAAGCCTGGGGAGGAGTTAGATACGGCCGACCGCCGAGGTGGACTGGGACGTATTGTGGGTTTATTTGAGGATGTCTTCTGTGTAAACTGAAACCACCGGGCTCTTTCTCTCTTTTACTGTGTTGTTGTTTACTTCGAACATACCGAGCTTATGTAAGGCCTGCCAAAGACAGGAGAGCTATTTGTTTGAACGTTTGCAGAGCAACACAAATACACAGAGCCACAATCGCTCCTCTTACCGTCACAGTCGCCCAAGTGGTCCACGTTTCCGTGTTCAACATCTTGCTCAAAAGGCAGTCTGCGGAGGAGAGGAGACACGGTCATTAATCAGGTGACACGGAGGCACGGCGACTCGGCCGCTGAGCCCACAGCGGAGATCCGTTCTGACACGGGAGCACTACCTCAGTGTTACACTGGGGCGTACATCTCGACGAGCTCCTCGCACTTAAGAAATCTCATTTTTTTGTTTGGCTGGCGAGAAAAATGAAGTGAAGAAGCCCTCGAGCTGCCTAATATCCCACAATAATCTTCATTATAATTTCAAAATACCACTCATGCCAGCAGCATCAATAATTAAACTAATTAATGCAATGAATTACAAATATTTCTAGGTCAGCAAAGGACTTCATATTAGAGATATTTGCTGTAGATATAAACTCCAAACTGTTGGAGTGCAAAGTGCTAAAGAGGTGGAACAGTCCAACACCATGTGTTTCGCTCATTAATATGCAGATTAGGGTGAGGACGTGCCATAATCATAGCATCCTACCACTTTTTACACATTTATGATCAGTGAAATATTCAGCAAAACCTCAAACTGTACTGTACTGATTTCTGTGGAAAACTATGACATATTGTATTTATACAAGTCATTTCCCTTTTGGTCCAAAGGGGAGCATGAAAACCTCAACAGACAATAACATAGAGTATGATGAAGAGAGGAAGTGAAGAGGAAATGAGAACGGCTCACAGGCCAGGTGCACACCGAGACAAACACAAGTGCTTCTGATTATGGCTTGTGTCGAGGGGGAAGCTGCGACGGACGCAGCGAGAACGTTTATGTAGGTGTGTGAGTGCATGCAAGAGCGTGCCTGCAGGCTCCATGCGTTTCAGAACTCAGTTATAATGGGCTTCATGTGACTGGAAAGACCTCTAGTTAAGTGATTTAAGTATCATATAGGGGAAAGTGCACTTTTGCCCCTTTTCAACAGCACAGCTCTGGAAGAGAAATGCATAAAAAACACACGAAATCACTAAAAAAACAGATCATTTTCATTCTGAATGATGCGTGCATGCATATGTTTCTTTATTTTTCCTGGGTCATGTGTAAATTAGCGTGCAAAAGTCTTGAACTGACCCGCATTTCTTTATATTTCACAGGAAAATAAAAAATAGGTGCGGCGATTTTTCGAAACATGAAAAAATTATGAGAAATACAGTATTTAAAGCAAAAATAGAAATGGAAAATTTTAGTTATGATCACCTTTATTCAGTCTGAGCTCTCTGAGCAGCTCTCTGTCATCTCTGTGAGGATCTTCAGGGATAATTCTCCAGGCTTTTTTAAGGATATTTAAAGATCTTTGGACGTTTTTGCATTTTTTTTTTCTCTTCTCTGTTAAAAAATCTGAATCCATCAGTCATTTTTTCCCGTTTGCCTTCCACTGTGACCATTTCTGATGAGACTTCAGTGAACAGTACATGGATTATCTATCAGGTCCTGTGTCAGGTCTTGTTCCTTATGGACACGATTTTCAGATGCTATTCATTTCCCGCAGGTAGTTTTTTAGGCCGTTTGTCCTCCACGTCTCCACTTACTTCAATTTTTTAAGGACACACTGCACACTGTGCTAAAATGTGCATCAAGTTTCAGCCCTTTTTGGTGCAAAAATATGATTCTCTGTCTGTTAAACTGTGTGATCTTTGACATTTTTGTAGATTCAACTAAAGAAACGAGAACTAATGATAGTAACGGGCTGCCACTGTCATTTTTGAAACTTACAAGAAAATCTGGAAGTTTGCAGTAATGAATACTGTAAAGTTTTGTCTGTTTTAGCATCAGCTATACACTCATCAGCTTCACGCTCTGTAGTGGAGCTATGTTAAACTGCACAGTTCCTATTAAATAACTCACTATTTAATTTATTTAATTTTACTGTAAAGTAAAAATGCCAAAAACGACTGATTTTTTATTTTTTTTTGCGACTTGAAATGTGTTCACACTGGCAACAGCTACTTTTCTCAGCAGTTATATTTAAATGGGCTTATTATGTCTAAACTGTGCTCATATTAACCATTAACCAGTTTTAAATGATGAGATCAGCATATGTGCGCGCAATCCTCACGAGTCGAAGCTCAGACTGCTTCAAATATTTTTCTGCTCTTGGCTCTGTTTGTATTAAAGAGAGAGAATATTTCCAATAGGACCATCTCAGGCAAACAGCTCTGGCTGACAACCTGCACTCAAAAACCTTCTGTTTATGAGGGGCATGAGGGATGAGCTGCTCCCAGTCCCCACCCGAGACAAATACTGATCATTTCACAGTGCGACTCATGAAAAGCTGCTCTAGCAGAGTCCAAGAATGAATATAAAGATTGAAATGAGAATAACAGATCCCCTTTAAAGTTTGTCGGTAAATTCCTGTCCTGCTTAGAGATGAGTGAGAAGATCAATAACGCTCTCTTACAACAGTAAATATGAAGCTTTAGCCAGCATGCCATTAGCTTAACAGTCTGCATGGTGGCACTGCCCAGAGTGATCCTTAAGGTTGTGTGCTTAAACAGTTTCCTGGCCTCAGATCAAAGAAAGCTGGTGCAAGAGAATAAATAACAATATCTTCCCCAGATGTTAAACTTATTAACAACTTATTAACATCAATGCCATATTCTTACAATCCAACACCAATGCGTGACCTAATGTGATCAGCTGAGCCTCATATAAGTATAAGTGAGCATTTAGCAGGGGCTCAGTTGATTGGATGCACGCCTTCTGTACGTTACCACAAAGATGTGCACGTTTGTAACAATCACTCTCACATACGCTGTTTCATGGCACTGCAGCTACACCTGACATGTCAGAGCACTGACTGTGCATGAAAGCTGAACTTGGCTTGAGAAGTCAGCATTGTGTAATTAGCTAAAGGATCAAGCAGCAGCAAACATTTTTGCTTTTAAAGCCTAAAAAAACTGTGACAAATGAGTCCAAGTGTGCTGTGAACCTGCAGCGGTGCCATCCTAATAAAGAGTAATGTTATGTGCTCAGTTGGCTGCGTCTCCCAATCGGCGGGTTGTTCACTTTGTATACATTAGACGTGTCTGTGGCTCTGTGTGCGTGCCCACTTCTTACTGTTGCTTTTTCATTTTCAGTGTTTCTTTTCTTGTATATTCTCACGGGTAATTTGGATCATTGTTTAAAGACTTCATACAGTAACTAAAGAGAAAGTAATAAAGACCACAGTGTGGACGCTGTTACAGCACAGCTTCCCAGTAAGGGTTAGTGGAAGTAGTTCTAACCATCATTTCTGGATATTTTGATTCAAGAAGCTGCTGTTCTTCATAAAGTTGTATTGAGCAGTAGTTCTTCAGAT